TCTTTTTACTTTTATTATTTACCTGCTGTTAGATATATCCACCTTTTAAAACCGCATCGTTACATGCATGCAAACGGTAGATAATGCAGGATATTGTATGTAATATGTGGTGAATGTGCATTGTGATCTACATTTTATGTATAACGGAAAGTATAGCCCTTTTATCAATAAATCTGTCATGCTATGGAGTGTTGCAGGATTGACCCAAGTAGGCAAATTTCCATCAGCTTGATGGGCTTTCTCTCATCTTTCTTCTGCAATCCACATTCCTCCAACCTGAAATTTGTTTCTAACAGAGCAGATTTCAATGGTGGCTATTGCCAGCCTTCCTGTTGTCAAGAAAAAAGTGCAGCAAACTAAGATAAGCCTTCTAGCATAGATCACTAGTGGGATGCTAATGTATGTGAGTGCTTTTTGTTCTCAAGTAGCTGCTAATAGCTGCCTTACTCCCTCTCCCATGTCTTTGGGTGCTTGCTTGTTTCCCATTCTAAAAGTGGTTGATAAGGATAGATTTTAAGAATGGCTTGGGAGAAGAAACATATTTATAACACGTATTATATTAATTCCATCCTTGGAGTCTTGAGACCCATCATTTCTTTTCTAATAATCTCTAATAACAAGAATATTTGGAAATGAGATGGGAAGCATGTGTGGATGTCAACAGTCTAACTCAGGACTATAACATAGCAGAAAAGTCCCCTTGGTTAACTTTTAATCCATCTCTAGGAGAAGTTCCCTCTCTTAGTTTTAAATAAAGTAGGGGGGACCTCCAGGATAGCTAGATGAGGACCCACATTGTTGGGGGAAATATGCTGACTCGGTAAACTGCTTAGAGAGGGCTGCAAAAGCACTATGAAGTGGTATAAAAGTCTAAGTGCTATTGCACTGCTACATAGCATCTACATTAGGGGTGTCAAACTTGTGGCCCGTGGGCCGATGCATCACGTGCTGGCCCACCCCCCACCCCTGCCTGGCTTAGCGAAGGGGAAAAAGTCATGGTGATGACACCATGAAGATGCAAGTTTGACATCTCTGATCTACGTACTTAAAATATAGTGTGACAAAAGAAAACCTGAAAAAAAACCTGAAAAAAATAGGTACCAATATATTAAACAAGAAAAGCCAAAGGCCTAGGCAAGGATACAACTACCTTGAATTATTGCTTCCAGTAATGGCACCACAATTAGGGCTTCTTTCAAGGATCTTAAAGGTCAGATTAATACATGCCAGTATAAATATTCTGGTACCAAGATTCTTGGCCGCCTAATTCAAAAATAAAATAATAAAATATGTTCAAAACCGAACAAACAACCAGTACACATCATAGAAAATAAGCATCATATTTTCCAAGCTTTCTTGGGTTATCTGAAGATTCTCTATTAACTTCTGAAAAGCAATAGAGAGGAATAGATGCAAAGTAATGGATTATTGTGCTATGTGGTCCTCTCTGGGAAAGGAAGAAGCTGTTTTTTAGTGACAAGCTGGATATAGGAATATTCCTTAAGCTTCATAAGGAAAATGCAATCCCTTCAGTTTCCTCATTTTCTGTACTTGGGAATTACTTACATTGCTTTCATGTTGTCAAGATTAAGTTTCTGTTCCCTGGCTCTCATCCAGTTCATTTCCTTCTCCTGGTGTTATCTCACCTAGTTGAGATTTGAGAGATACAGCCTGGGTGTCATCTGCATATTGTGGTCAGTGTGATCAAAAGCAGCTGAGAGAAACGGAGGAAAAATGACATGCTAAAGATAACATGTAGTCTTCGTATGACTTCTGTCCATGTAAAAGCAGGCATTTCCTGTTATAATTCTATTCTTATTTAAGAGAGACAATGAAGTTCTTGTTTAACTTTCTGAGTACTGTATCCGGTAAGTTTTCCATGATATGCTATCAGAAGTCAAATTTTAAATCTGTGCCTTCCTAACATGAAAAAAGGAAATCCTTTCTCTTGCTATAAACACAGACATTAGATTGTTCTAAGAAAAATGCATTACTTGGTGGAAAATATCAGAATCCAGAAAACTTGTTATTGTGATTATTTTTTAAGATGAAAATGTAGCAGAGAAATGCTTCTTAAGCTATGTACTATATACAGACACATTCACAAACCCTGAGCATTGTTACTGATGATCTTACTACTTTTTCCTGAAAATTGTTTTTTTGAAAAGAGAATTTTTGGCAATCACTAGAACCCAAATGAAATATCAAAACAGGATGAATGTTGAATCAGCTATTAAGAGTTTCTTTTTAAATATCTTATTCCAGAGAAGGATAAAATATGCTATTGTAATCAGGCACATACAAACCATTAAGATTTATATACAGTGTACTAAATGCATGGAAAAATTAAGTGGATTACTTATTTAGTAATTCATTCTATTTATGTTGCCTGATTCCAGAATGAGAGTCTGCGCAGCTCACAATAACACAACATAATAAAATATATGTGATAAGAAGAAACGTAAAACAAAAACCATAGTATAAAACAAGAAAAACAATAAGATGGCAAATTTGGCAACAACTCAAATATCCCACAACATTGAGTGGGAAACTCCAGCCACCCTATGCCTGGGAGAATAGCTAGGTCTTTAGGGTGCACTAGAATGCCAGCAAGAAGGGAACCATCCTGATCTCAAAAAAACCCCAAACCATCATGTTTTAGAAGGCAGGTGCTGAAACAGGAGGCACACTTTCTGAGTTCTTATAGATGATAATATTTGATCAAGGAAACCCAGACCTTTTGACTCAAATTGACCAGGCAGACACATAGGAGATAGGCAGTCCTTCAAATAACGGTTGTATTTCATGTGGGGCTTCTAAAGTCATAATCAGCTTTTGAATTGCACTGAAGCAAGCTGGCAACTTCTTGAAGAAGTGGCATCCTATGAACATACTCAAGTATGCCCATCATTGCCCACAACTGGGACAGTTGAAGCTTTCAAGTGATCTTCAAGGGCAATATGCCTGTAAAAGCATATTGCAATAATTGAACCATGAGGCATGGATGGCTATCTGAAGAGCTTCATGATCCAGAAAAAGGCGAATGTGATATCATTAGGTTACATCAAACTCCACCTTGATGGAGTTTAATCAGTCCAGGGACTTTTTGGGAAGGTTCTTCCTGTGACTAAAATTACAGAGAAATATATAGACAGACATACAGACAGAGATATAGATATAGATAATAACAATATAATCAACATAATACCAAAAGATGGGGGTGGTTTAGAGTCCAGAGAAGAGCAACAAAGAGCGTGGAGGCTAAGCAGTACAATGAACAGTTGCAGGAATTGGGTATGAGAAAGAGAAGGATGACATAATAGCAGTCTTCCAGTATTTTATGGGCTATCACAGAGAATGACAATCTATTTTCCAAAGCACATGAGGGCAGAACAGGAAGTAATGGATGGAAGCTTAACAAACAGAGATCCAACTGAGAATTAAGGAGAAATTTATGTCAGGGAGAACAATCAATGGAACAGATTATTTTCACAAGTTGTGGGTGCTTCATTACCGGAGTCCTGTCTGAAAATGGTATGGGCTCATTGTGTGAAATAGTATGGGGTCTCTTTCTTGATGAGGGGGTTGGACTAGAAGACTGCCAAGCTTCCTTCCAAATCTGTTATTCTGCATTATGTGTATACTACCTGGTTCCTAGTAATCTGGATATATTGTAAAGCACCTTTGTGTTACTTAGAAGATCATTGAGCACAGTTTTATTTCACCAAGCTTTCAGTCCCTGTTAAATATTGGCATTCAGTTTGGGAAGCATTTGTATATGATTATTGCCTTTAAATATTTTAGTGTATCATAGTCTGCGGAGATTATTCTTTTTTTGGTGGGGGGGGGGGACTATAAAAACCATACAATAAAAGAAGCAAATATTTTGTCATTTTTAAAAAACCAAATACAATGGAACTGAATTATAAAGAGTATGAGGCTTTATACCTTTGTCCCCCGCTTGATCCCAGTTTGCATTGTGGGTTGGATATACATATACTCTACACCAAGGGTCCCCAAATCCTGGTCCGTGGACCAGCACTGATCTGTGGCATGTCAGCAAACCAGATTTTTCTGCTTCTAGAACAAAGAAAAAAATTGCCCTCATCTAGTTTTCCTAGCTTCTTTTTCAGACTAAAATTCACTAATAAGGATCTATAAATTAAAATGGCGTATTCTGTATTTTTATAGGGGCAGGAGTAATTCATATAAATATGAAAAATGTAATATTTCAATAGCAAGCAATTAGCATGTTAATGAATTTTGATAGCATTCGAATATCCTCTCCAAGGGAGATGGGCAGTTAAGAAATATAATTTTTTTAAAAAATTAGGCATGTTTTATATAAATAAAAACATCATTGGAATACAAAGCCCAGGTCTTCGCTGATAATATAGAAGTAGTCTTTGGGTTATGATTGTAATGGAGCCTGCCTTTTACTCTCATAAGTTGTGACTGTTGTAAAGCGAGTCACCACATGCCTGGATCCATTTTTACAACCTTTTTGATGGTGGTTGTAATACAAACACCACAGTTGTTAATCAAAACCATTATTTGCTATGGGGCGTTTTTGCCAAAAACTGGAAGTAAATGGTTTTGACAAAGACATCGTAAGTCATATGACCAGTGGAAATGGTCATATGTGCAGATCAGTTGCCAAGTGGCCAAAATGTAGTCATAAGATCATGGTGGAGGACTGACTGTTGGAACTTTAGAACTGGGTTGTAATTACTTTGCGGGGGGGGGGGGGGATATTGTAACTTTGACAGTCAAGGACTTACACCTGTATAGGCTTTGAAGTCTTAAATGATGAATTTTGGCTTCAGATTCATTTTTTTAAAATGCTGTAAAAATTAAACATTAATATAAATCACCACCTTGCTTCCTGTGGGGCTGTTTCGGTTTTTGGGTTTTCTCTATTAAAAATGCTTCAGACTATAAAGCTGGCTACTCTTCCACAGTCAGCTCCTTTAATTTTGGACCATATTTATGTTTTGTAGATTCAAGTCAGTCAGAAAGTCCCAGCCAGCCAAGCGAAGCTGATATTAAGGACCAGCCTGAAAATGGTGAGTTTTGCCAAGCTTATGTCAAGTCTGTGTGTGTTTTTAGGGAAATTGAACCACAGGCCCCAGGAGATGCCTTAGATGTATTAGATATGCCCATTTTCTTTCAAGTAAGGCAGGGCTTGGAAATCATGGCCCTTTAATGACTTGTGGACTTCAAATCCCAGAATTCCCGAGCCATCCATGTGGCTCGGGAATTCTGGGTGTTGAAGTCCGCAAGTCATAGAAGGGCCGTAGTTCCTCACCCTTGAAGTAAGGCCTGGTAGTTCTGAGCAGGCTGTTTATTTCAAGCTACAAACAAGGCAAGTGGGAAAGCACATTGTTTCCAGTTACAAGTGTCCCACTTTTGCCACTTTTCTTTTTTGTTGAGTAAAGATAAAGAACTGAAAGAATAGTGGAAAAGATAAAAAAGAATTAGGATTGCATTGAATTTGAATTCAAGGCAAGTTCTAAAGAACAATATCCTATGATTCAAGTAGGTTACAGAGGTGGATGGGAACGTACTTAGTTAGCCTGGATTATGTTTATATTCTGTCTGGAAGTGAGATTGCAAGGAAATACGACTTCAGCAATAGAGTGGTCAATGCTTGGAATGCACTTTTGACTGTATTGTTACATCCTCTAACCCCCATAACTTTAACTTTAAACTGTCTACTATTGACCTCACCCCATTCCTAAGAGGTTGATAGGGGCGTGCATAAGCGTACCAGCGTGTCTAACATCCCTATCCTACTATTCCTATTTATTTGTATCCATTTCCTGTGTTCTTAATTCATGTTTATTCTTATTCCTGTTATCTTGTACATGAGTGACAAACTAAATAAATAATAAATAAATAAAAATGAAATCATTTTTAGTGTCATTGGGAATGGAGTCATTCCTGTTGAGAATTCTACCCCAATTTTTAATGAAGGGCAGATTCAGCAATGTTCACCTTGTCTATTGGAGTATAAGGAGATTAGTACTTTCACCAGTATAAATCATTAAAGTACTCATCAGTGATATGCCTAATCAGCATTTGCCGGCCATGCCTAATGGTATTAAAGACACAGGAACATTTCTTAGTATTTGCAGAGCCACACCATATCACATTAAAAAAATTTGAAAGGAAAAACATTACCTTAAAATTTTCAATTATTGCCAAAGGAATTATAAATTAAGGCCTTTAATACTTGGTTTTGAAGTATAGCATACAATTTCTTAGCTATAGTTCGCTTACTGTTATCAGATTAAATTCTTTCGTTTTACTGAGGTTGGAGTAGGTGAGAAACAGTTAAAAGAAATACGAAGTCCACCAACATTCTTAACAGTTATGATTTGGCAATAAAGTGTTGATAATACAAGACTTAATAAAAACATGTACACATTTTTCAAAGAATTGTCTATATTTACATATAAACTTGAAAAAGGGATAGTATTCATTACTCCAGCTGTTCTCCTGTGCTTGCTGATTTAATTGTGTATTAAAAAGTTGTTTCCCTGAATATCTTCAGTATTCAAATCAAACATCTTGATAATTCAAAAGCATGTCCTAACTCTGTCTTCAAAAATGAAAGATACCTTGTTCTTCCTAATAGTAAAAAGTATCAAACAATTTCTTACATTTGTTCATGGAATCTTTGTGATAAATGCATTTTGTAATTGCAGATATTTTGTTAATGTGGTATAAGTAGTCAATTATAGATATTTTTGTGAAGATAAGGTTGGACATAGTGGCTAGGTTGATGATTCAAAGGAATATTTGAAAAAACAAAAGTATGATCAAGTGAAATCTAAACGGGTCTAAATCGTAGTACAAAACTTAAATTTGTACTTCAATGTGACTCTTGTTATCAATGTAATTTACAATATGTTTAATTTTGGATACATGGAAATTTTAAAAGCAAGCTCTATAGATCTCAAATACATGAAGCCTGGATCTAGTTTTGTAATAATAGAAAAGTGGGGAAAAAATGACATTCCCGTCCCTCAAATGCTAGATAGAATAACCCCATTTTCAATTTAAAGAAACAAAACCAGCCATTTCTTGAGTGGCTAGTCCTTTGTAAAATATGGCTTGGTGCATCCTTTCTAGAATAATCATAAAGAGTCAACAAGTTTTTCTTTTCTCTCCTTTTAAAAGGCCACTCAGATCCTAAAATGTTAATGCTAAATATTATTAAGGAAAAGATACCAACTTTTTCACTAAAAGTATACACAGAGTTATCCATTGAATATACAGTTTGTGTGCCTGCGTGCGTGCGTACGTACGTACATACATACTACACACACACACACATTGTGCTGGTGAGGAAGAGTTAAAAAAATTCTCTGCCAGTACAAGTTTTTCAGTTCAGGACAAGTCTTCTTTGCCCACTGGTACATGACCCTTTTAGTTTCTTTAGATGAAGAGACGCTGTTATGTTCTATGTTCTATTTCAAGACTTGTACTTAACATTTAGAAGTGATATTAAAGAGTTGTTAACAGAATAACAGAGTTGAAAGGATCCTTGAAGATTAGCTTATCTAACTCCATACTCCAACAGGAGATCCTACACCATTCCAGACAAGTGGCTGTCCAATCTTTTCTTGAAAATTCCGTGGAGCACACATAACTTCTGGAGCAAGCTGTTCTACTGATTAATTGTTCTCACTGTCAGGAAAATTATCCTTAGTTCCAGATTGATTCTCTACTTGTTTGGTTTCCATCCATTGCTTCTTGTTCTGCCCTCAGGTGCCTTGGAGAATAGCTTGACACCCTCTTCTTTGTGGCACCCCCTCCATTATTTTGTATGTTTAAATATTTACATTAATTAAATTATAATTAAAATACATAAATATGTTACAGATTTGGGGTATGTAGAAAGTCAGTAGTTTAGATCCCCACTGACCGTACTGTGAAACTAATATTAAAACTAGTCTATTGTAGTAATATAAGAATAAAAATGAGAATGAAATAAATAAACCATATCTAGCATTCATTTCCCTTTGCTGAGAATCCATGTATCAGTTAAGAAGAAGACATGTAGAAAGGTTGCTAATTTAAGCAGTAATTTTAAAAGATGTTGATATTAATCGTATTCCCATGAAAGAAAGTGCATTATATATCATCCTTTCTAAATTACTTTACAAGTGGGAGCTGTTAGCTTTTTGTCCAATCTTTTTAATTTTAGGATATTTGTTTCCCAGGAGTGGTCTTATGCCTGTTAATTCTGTGTTTTGCACTAGATAAGGGAATAAATTATGCCTATAGCAGATTAATAATAGTGCTAGTAGTAGGAACAATAATTTATTACATTTATATACCACCTGACTCCCAGCAACTCTGAACTTTACAGAAATCTAGTCTGGGAATATATAGAGTACCTGGAAAACTTTTGCTAACACCATTTATGGTTGATTTCCAACCAGAATTATTCATTGTTTGAAAAAGATGGAAATCTAAAAGACTAGATTGTGACCATTACTTTTAATATTGTGATTGGACATTGAAAAAAATACAGTAAGTTTCTTGTTTAAAACCCACACTTGCTCCAATATGTCATAGATCCTGTTGTCTTCAGTGAAACTTACATTCAGGAAAATGCTTAGGCTTTGGGTTGAATATATTGATCCATTGTCATGGTTTGGTTTGTTGATCTCATCACAACTGAGCTGGGCTAATATGTGAGTTCATAAACCATGGTTGAAAACCACAAGAGTTCACAAAGGACTTTTAGTCAAGTTCAGATAAACCATATTAATCCCAAAATCAGGATATATTTGCTTTGTAGGCTTTTCTCCGTAAAAGTAATGATATTTGTAAGTGTCTATAAAACCGAGTCACATATAGCTTTGTTCAATGCATGTTGATAGTATAATTATATCATGTTCAATTTGTCTAACATTTTCAAGGAATCTCATTTTAGTATCCCTTCTAATAGTCACAGAATTAAAGATTCTGCTGGCAGTTACCTTATTTATCATCGTAGGGCAGCTTGGTTTATAGTATTTAAATTGCAGTTCAAGGAGTACAAAAGAAAGACATCTGATGTTGAAGAAAGAAGCTGAAAGAACAAATTCTTGTCAAAGAAAATTACTGATTTCCCATTCCATGAACAGGGCATCTTGATGCAGCTTTATTGCATGGCGTTGTGCTCGTATAAAAATATTCAAGGTATGATACTGGAGAAGAATTAATAAGCACTAGATTTATAACACATTAAAGTGAACTGAAAAACTGTGAATAATTATTCAACTTTCACTGTTTTTTCCAGAATGAGACATATCAGTTTAACTGAAATTCAGATTGTCTAAAAGATGCCAGACAGAAAGAGGCATGTGTGCTGGTAATACACACAGAAGTGATCTCCTGATTCCAGTCAGAGAAAGAAGACATTAGACTGGCTTAATGAAACATCATCCTGGTTTCTTAGTTCCAAGCAACATATTTTACTAAGTGGCTTTGTACGCTTAGCACAACTAACCCAGACTTTTCCTCATGGGAAACACATCATTCTTAAGCAGCATATAGAGTTTGCTCCCTAACAAACACAACAGAGATGACTTACTCATCCCCATCCTTTCTAATTTTTATCCCTCAGCTTTTAGACTGTGTGTGAAAAAATTTAAAAAGGAATTTATAAAGCCAGTCTGTTTTTGTCGGGCTGCTCTGGGTCTTTGTTACTGCCTCAAGAGTAGGAGAAGGTATTATCCTCCCCAGTGTCTAGGGCTAGGCTGTTTTGATCTACTTTGGTTGACTAGGCTTTTATATTCATACAACACAATAGTTCGCTTTGACCAGTTACACGTTACAAAATGAACATAGCCAGTTGTGTGGCATTGCGTAACTCTTATTTTATCCTGCCCCTCACATCTATATCTTCAACAAGATTATCTGTTCCCAGTGTTATCCAAAGCAACTGAGCCACTGGAGTCTAGAATGTTAAGAAAAAGCTTCTATTATATCAGTGAGCAATAAGTATCTGGATAAGTATTTACTTAGCATATGTTTAGTTTAGTTTAGTTTAGTTTTGGTTTATTTG